GTAATGATTTTAGTACGTCATGTGCACACATAATAATTTTAAAGACTCTTCATATCAAGTATTATCCCCCAATATTTACGTCGTGAGCTCATTTTGCCACAGTTTCATAATGTAACCATAAGCTGTCATCTGCTAAGTTTCCAGTGTTGGTTTCAGTGTAACATTTTGATAGACTCCACAGGGCAATTTGATAGAGTCACTGAAAGGGTACGATATCTACAGGTATATGTATAAAAGTAATTTAAATATATCAGCCCAACCACTGAAATAGCTGTTAAGATCATGCAATCAATATGCTACGATTTCAAAAGCAAAACGTTCTGACGAAACTTCAATGAATCATATGACCAAAGCACGGCTGTAAGACTGCTCTGAGTGCACACAAATTCCCCCAAAACCTCTTTAACCACTACATGTCGACTCCTTCCGGAACAACTAAAAAAGAAAGTTGAACGGAAATTTTCGCGTGACCCAAGTAATGTTTTATTCGGAGCAGAGACTTTGTGACTTCAACAGCGAAACTTTCAAGGCATGTCGGTTTTGCTTCGCTTCTTGTTACATCGGAAATTTTTATAACCGTTCATATCGCAGGAAACCTTTTTTAAGTTCAAGATCACAATTAAAGGCTGTTTCAGAGCCAGAAATTATAATTCTGCGTTTACCAGTGACTTTTTTCCAAAGCATGATTAACTCCTTATGCTGATGTAATTCCACTATCATAGATGTCAACAGTACAAATTTTCGGAGTTTCGCTAAAACTACGATGGATCGAAGTTGTCGAATTTTGAACAAGGGCAGTTTCGGAATCATTGCTTTGTTTGTTAGGGGCACATTTGAAGTAAGTTGAGGGAGACCGTGACCAAAATGCAAGTGCTTTGGACAGTAACAGGTATTCCGGCTGTTACCATGGTAACAACGAAAGATAGATACTTTGCGGTTACGGTACCGTTTATTGGAGTCGATTCATGGAATATCTTGCTCAGTCCTTGTCAGAGGGGGTATTATGAAAGGGGGTCTGTTATTATGCCCCTCTGAGGGATGGGGTCTTATTTCAGGGGGAGAGGGGACGGTTTTTGGAAGGTGTGAAACATGTAGTATTTGGTTAACTTGCCCCGCGAAAGCGTATCGATTTTAAAACTACGCACACAGATCATAATATTACTCAGAAAAAATAAAGTGAGTCCAACAATGCAAAAAAAAATTGAAAGCTAATGTTGAGTAAAACAAGCAGTTATCTTCCTTGTATTAACAAATGCTCCGTGATGCCTGCTACTCCTTCACAGTCAGGCATAACGGGCGGTCAATAAACCTAAAATGGTCAGAGAGGATCGAAGGGGAAGTCAGATTTGGACGAGTAATACAAAGCTCGAAGGCAGAGAGTTCCAAGTATCAAGCCCGGCAGGTCATACAAAATCTGGTATCTTCGGTATTTTCTAGAATGATCTGATTATCTCTTGATATGTTTATATATCCAAGAGTAATTTTTATCTCTTATCATAAAAAGAGAATAGTAATAATATTTAATGTTGCACGCGGAGTTCAGTAGTTATGTTATTTCAAAACTATGTTCCATATGTGAAATACTTGAGATGCTGAGGATAGCTTTGAGCGCCGTTAAATGATATATTTACCCTCGTAAATATAGGCTTAACTAGACTAACAGGTCTAGGAATACTAAGTATGAATTTTACTAAACGAGTTTTAGAGAAGAGGGGTGTTACAGAATATTACAAAAAGCATAAAATTAAGCAATCTTTAAGGTTTAAATAATACAGAGTTAACTCCGCTGTTGTTTAAAGTGACCGCTTAATTTCTGACGAGATTGATGATTTTAAAACCTGTTTTATATACATTGTGCTGTCTGTTAATAAACAACGTGCAACATTCCCCTGAGACGAAAAGAATTATCACAGGTCTAGGGTATTCAGTGACATCTCTTTTTTGATCTAGATGTATTTTACTAGTATCTCATAAAGCAATCGATCTTATTCAACACTGGACAAACGAAACAAATTAATCAAAGTTATATGCTCAATTAACCATTGTTGATTTCAAGAGTCAATAAAACCCCATTTGTGTGATAAGTTAAATTCTTCCCTTCTGTTGAAGTCTGTAAACAAGAAAACTGAAACTTCAGAGCTAGAGTTTCCAATCTCTCAAACTATCGTTACTGTAGCTGATCTATCGTGATTTGAGTTAGATACTCCTTGCCGCGTAATTTCACAGCGGTTGATTATGTTTATGACCAGTTCTTTTCTTATCTATTTTCGGCAATCTGTGTGTGGTTGCACGGCTAAGCGGACAGATAAGACCATTTTCTTTACCGTGCCGGGTCCTTTGCAACTTTTCTTTGTTACTTAAAGTGAAAGAAGTTGTTCGGCAAAAAGTTTGCCGACTTCATCCACAGAGTACCGCTTGCTCGCCGCAATTGCGTAGAATCTCGGTTTGAAAGGAAAAAAGGTCGATGGTTATCACGCAATAGTCGGCTTAATTTGCATTATATAAACCAAAATTGCAAGCGTTGCTGATAACTTTGAAAAAAAACTATGTTTTTTTTTTCAGTCTGATTTCGCTAAATCGTGATTAATTCAAATAACTCTGCGGTATTTTTTCCCATCTCTTTTTCCATCCATCAGTTTTGCTGGACACGTAATCTTATGACACAGAATGAATAGTAGTGGGTGGTCCATACGTGCTTGGCGGCTGCTCTGTACAAAACAACCATTACCAAAATTAGAACTCATCACTGTCAGCGAAAAACACCCTTAAATCTTTTACAATGATAGACCTCAACGCTAAATTCTAATCATCAAACCCAAAAGGGAAGCAAGACTCCAAATAAGAAAGTTGGTTTATGTTTTCAACTATCCAAACTGTTTTAACCCTTCGGGGCTTTCTAGCTAGAAATTATTTGAACAAAAATTAGAAGAATACTGTACATAGCGATATTGTTGAGTAACTGAATGACTAATTTTCATTGGAAACAGTTTCGATGGCTTGCTCCGTGACTCAGCACGGGAACCATATCATTTGCAATTAAGGAAGCAATGAATGGTGTTTGCTTTCAGTGAGTTAAATCAAGCTCTTCTGGTGTTTAAGTTCGCTTTCAACTTTTTAAAATTAGAAAAGCAAGTTACACAAGTACAAATTAATGTTATCAATTACTTTGCCCTGTGATTAATTTTGCTTAAATTGAGTAGAATAAAGAGATCTTGATTTCCAATAAAGGTATGTTAAATGTTTTTCAAGAATCAAACAGGCATTTAAACACATATCTAACCTGAAATTAACTAAATCAACAACTCTGTCAACAAATTTGCTGATAACCTTCCACTAAATGATTTTATTGAAGTTCTTATTTACAAGGGCAGTGATTTCAAAGAAAAATAAATAACAGCTTCAGAGAGCGAGAACTTCGTAACGTGGAGTAAGAAATAAAAGTAACTCATATAAAATGTTTTTCAGCGAAAGATGGTTTAGTTTTTAAGCTTTGGAAAGAAACACGTTTTTAGGCAGTAGAACGAGTTCCAATCAAAATTACTCTATGAAGCGGAACCCTCGGCCTTAAATATCATACAGCAGTTAATTCTTTCTTGGCTTTTAATAACCCAACACTTTCAAAGACCTTTATATGCTCCGATGAGCTGTCATAGCGATTTATACACACATCGTAAATGCTGAAATTCATGGATATTTGATTTATCAGTAAGAGTTTTCTAGTCGATTTTAGTTTCGAATTCAGTTATCTCTGGTTATTAAAAGAGGGGATAAATGTTTGTTGGGAAATTCATTCGTCCCCTTTAATTTTGACCCTTTTTCAGTTCTCATTTCTGTTCTCATTTCATTGTGCTCAAAAGGATGCAGTTTAAAACTGAATAATAAATCAGAAAAGATTTAATAAAGACGAGTTGTCCTCTGGTCAGTCAAACTCTTCGATTGAATTTGGATATTTTTCATGCAATTCTGTTCGCTTCCAAGGGCTTTAGCTTTGGCATTTAACACAAAATATAACTGCGCTCACGTAACTTCCACAAAGGTAAAAGTGCATGAACTGTGGCTGTAATTTTCGAGAACAAACTGTGGAATCTTTAAGCTCCTGTTCGACAGCAAGCAAATTCTGACACTTCACTAGCTACATTCTAATAACCAGTTCATTCCGTTATCGGAATAAATTTCACTCCCAAAGCTTAATGAACAGTGTTGGATGATTTTATTGCTGACTCATGTTAACTTTGGTGTGACAAAATAAACTCTGAGAGATGATGAACTGTTTTAACTAGAGTTTTGCGGTTGTCTTATGATGACTCTAACAGCATTGCCAAATGCAGAAGTTTAGCGTCTGCGAGCTCTTCGGGGAGAGAATGGAATTTTTCAATAGAAAGCCTGCCGAATCAGTCATTGAAAGACTAACCTTCGACTCGTAATCTATTCACGGCTTCGTCTTTCCTATAAACACGTTTTTCTCCAAGGGGAAACCAATAAAGTCGCCCATTTCCGCTAGTCATTCTATTTGACGTGCAGACAGGAATTGGGATCACGGCAGCGGAGCCATTTAACCGTTCAATTGTCGTGTTGCGTCAGTGAAGACTTAAAGGGTTAGTCTGTGCTAGCACGATTATCGGCACATCAAAGAGAAAACTTCAATTCAAACAATTAATAATGAGTTGGATGTTTGTTTTTGATCTACCTCTGAAATGCTTCAAATGCATTCAAAATCACTGTTTAATAAAATTTGGCCACTTCTATAATCTTCAATTAAGTCGTCATTTTCTTATCGTTGGCTTTTTAATAAGGCTGCGACAGACCCCTATCGTCACACAAAAATTCGTTCATCTCGTTAAGCCTTCTGCTCGGCTGTAGAGGCGAAATATTTGAGTTAAGCCACTGGAAAAATAAAACCTTCAGATCTGATGCTTATCGGATCCTCGGCAATAACGGTTTTCCTGCCTATATAAGAAACAATATTTAAGAAGGCACATTCCATCCAATTGTTCAGGCCCACAAACTAAATTAAAAAGTTGATTAATTCCGTTTTGACCAATCAGAAACGAGATGAGCTAAACATTTCGACGATCAAAGGATTTATATTCGAGAATCTGTGCCATCGGCTTGATAAAAAGGAAGAGGTTGAGCTGGCTGAAATGGAGTATCAACACGCGGTAACCTTGATAACTGTGTTACTGGCAACAGTCTTTGCCCACAATCTGATGGAGGCCAATTCGAAGTTATTGTGAGTGAGAATCAATTTTCTTATTCTTGTGCTTTGTTGAGACACAATAATTCAATCAGCCTTTTATCTTTTGACACTCTGACAGCGTTGTTTCATCCGTGGCAACCCTTTCCCTAAGTCACATCTGCAGCAAAATTCCTGGCTTGTATCCTAAGCAGATTGCCATCTGTGAAGAGTCTCCCAACGTTATTAATTGCATTCGGGAGGGATATCGACTTGGCGCTGAAGAATGCAAATTTCAGTTTCGCGAAGATAGGTGGAACTGTACACTGCTCGGTCAAAGATCGGTCTTTGACGACAAGGCAATACGTAAGTAGGATTATCGTGCTTAGAAGTTGTTGTAAGCGATCTCTCAAGGAGATTTCGTTCTGTACTCTGAATATTAGATAATTTGCCACGACTAATTTGGCAGTCCACTTAGCTTGAACTGCTGTAAAGTGATTATTTGTTTGTTTGGAGTAAATAGCTCCTGATTAACTCAAAGTCCACCTATGAATCCACTTATCTTAAAGACTCTTGACCTGTTTCAAGTGGCCGGAAAAGTAGCTCCATATTATCATTGTGAAAACTTGACAACTCACTGAAACGAATAATTTGGCTATAATTTAGCTTCGCTAAT